CCGCCCCTGTGCGCGTGCGCGCCACGCGGCGCCCCAGCCTGCCTGAGCCCTCTCCTGGGCGGCCGCCACCCACCTCCCTCAGTTGACGCAGCTTCTCCCTTCTCTTCTGCAGATCCCGCTCCTCTGTTGCAGTTTCTTCCGGCACCCGGGCTCGGCCAGCCGCCGCTTCCTCCTCCGAGCCGCAGGCCTGCCCCGTCCCTCGGGCCGGTCACCCACGTGTGCGTCCGCGCTGTCCCGACAATGGCGTATGAAGCGCCTCAGCTGCTGGGGCGTCTCCGGCGCTCCGCGTCGCTTGGCGTCGCGCCGCCCCGGAGAGAGCCCGGGCTTCGCCCCCCGAGGCGCCGGCGGCGCAGGGCCTGGCCGCACCTCGCTCCCTGCAGGGCCCGGTCACCTGGCGCCGGCCGTGCTGTGCTGCGGCTCGGCACCCCACCGTGTGGGGGTACACGGGAGCGGTCCGCGGGCAGCCAGCCTTGCCGGGACCTGGCCTGGCATGTGCAATGGGCTCCTTGGTGGCCACTCGCTGGCCGCACCCGCACCCGCACCCGCCGCGGGCTTCTGCGTTTCAGAACACGCGCGTGGACCACGCTGGCCCTGAGACTGGCCTGGAGACCCCGGGGCCCCTCCCGGTGCCTTTAAGGGTGACACACATGCGCCAGCCGGCGGACGCCGCTGAGCGCCTCTCTTGTCCCGCCGGTGTGGCTCCGGCGCCCGGCCAGCCCGGCCAGCCCGGCCGCGGCGTCTGCCCGCAGTCGGTGGCTCTGCAGAGCCCTGTGACACGTGCCGAGGTGTCCCCAGCCCGGGCGCCACCTGCCTTCCCTGAGCGCTGGGGGACAGGGCAGCGAGGCGGGCAGCACTGACCGTGTGGGAGGGCGTGGTGCAGACAGAAGGCCCCGGGGCCTTCAAACACCCCTTCGCGGTGTCCGGGCCCTGCAGACCCCCGCCCCAGCTGCCAACCTGGGTTCGCAGCCACCTCGCTGGCTGCAGACACCTGGCCACCGGCAACTGTGCCCGCGACGGGCCCTGCCCCGCCGGCCACCACGGCCAGCTGCTGAGCTCAGTGGGGCGGCCAGGGTGGCCCTGGCCTCGGGGCAGGCTAGGCTCTCCAGAAACCTCAGTCAAGGGTCACAGCCCCCCTGGGCTCCGCCCCACCGGCCAGAGGCCTGGAAGGGGAGCGGCAGGGAGGCCACGAGGGCTCATGCAGGCGGCTGGGGCGTGGGGATGGCGCGGCCGCAGGGAGGCGAGGGGTCCGCGGCGAGGGTCGGGCAGACGGAGCCACCTTCCGGAGCCCTGGCCGCCGCCGGCAGAGCCCTGTGCAGGTCTGGGGGAGGCTCCGCCCTCACACGGCCCCCGGAGGCCCCCACTGGCCTTTCCCGACGTTCGTTCCGACGAGGCCACCCCGAAGTCACCCCTAGGACGGCGCCGGCGCCAGC